GATTGGAAGAACAAATTTCTGTTGAAAGTGAGTGACTGGAGTGAAAAGAAAATAAGTCCTAGTATAACAGGCACCCTGCCTACACTTCATTCCACAACCTGACCTCAAAGTAGGAGAAGCCCTGTGTAGGGAAGAAGCAGGTTCCTTTCCTCTCTCCAGGTTCTACCAAATTCATGCAGTTTCTGGTACTGGAATGTGCTTTGAGGACCCTTCTGCCTATCTGGGGGAAACGGACCTGTGCAGTCTTCTGAACATAGGAAAATAAGAACAAGGACAGTGTCAGTGTTCAGAGGAAAGATGGGGCACATGTTCCTTGTGAGGCTCAATTTTTCCTGCCAGCTCTCTGGCTTCCTGGAAAGGGACTGCCAACAAAGAGCAGATATTAAATGTTCCCTAAAGCTTCCCTCTGCCTACAAATGATATTTGGAGATGCAAAGTGTGCAAGCCCTACACCCTTCCCCTCAATCTGCAGACATATCAATGAAGGGCTCATCAACACTCATTGTGAACAGTACAAATGGAGCCCTATTGTAAACAGTACAAATGGAGATAGACAGATTTTATTTTTTTTAAAGAATATTTCTGATAAAGGGCACATCAAATGCAAAGATTCAGAGACACAATGGACCACTGGCCAAGGGGTAAGTCTTCTGGAGAGGCCAGTAGGTGTCAGGCCTTGCAGGGATGTTCCCCTTATGAAGTGATAGGAGTTTGAACTTTATCCAAAGGACAAGGCCACAAAGATTTCAGATGGGGAGTGACATGATTAGCTCTGAATGTATAACAGCCAACAGCAGTTGTGATTTTTTTTAATTTTGGTTCTTTTATTTATTTGTTTTTCATAGAATTGCTTTTTTAATCTTTTCTTTCTTTTTTTATTGTTGTGCTGAGGGTACATTGGGGCATTTACAAAAGTTCTTACACTGTATCAAATCTATCATAGTAGGAGTTGTGATTTTAACTAGATTTATTAGCCATGAAGTTTATTACCAGATGGTCACTCATGAACATGTGTGCCTGAGTGTGACTGGCAAAGTGTGAAATCAAGAAAATAGTTGTATATGTTCAGTTCTGTGTATAATAGTTTTTTTCTTCCATTAAAAATTGTACTTCTTACAACCACTCTGGAAAAAAATTTGGAGGCTAATTAAAAAGCTAAACATTGATCTACCATTTGATCCAGCAATACCACTCTTGGGGATATACCCAAAAGACTGTGACACAGGTTACTCCAGAGGCACCTGCACACCCATGTTTATTGCAGCACTATTCACAATAGCCAAGTTATGGAAACAGCCAAGATGCCCCACCACTGACAAATGGATTAAGAAAATGTGGTATCTATACACAATGGAATTTTATGCAGCCATGAAGAAGAACGAATTGTTATCATTCGCTGGTAAATGGATGGAATTGGAGAACATCATTCTGAGTGAGGTTAGCCTGGCCCAAAAGACCAAAAATTGTATGTTCTCCCTCATATGTGGACATTAGATCAAGGGCAAACACAACAATGGGATTAGACTATGAGCACATGATAGAAGTGAGAGCACACAAGGGAGGGGTGAGGATAGGTAAGACACCTAAAAAATTAGCTAGCATTTGTTGCCCTTAAGGCAGAGAAACTAAAGCAGATACCTTAAATGCAACTGAGGCCAATAGGAAAAGGGGAACAGGTACTAGAGAAAAGGTTAGATCAAAAAGAATTAACCTAGAAGGTAACACCCACGCACAGGAAATCAATGTGAGTCAATACCCTGTATAGCTATCCTTATCTCAACCAGCAAAAACCCTTGTCCTTTCCTGTTATTGCTTATACTCTCTCTACAACAAAATTAGAAATAAGGGCAAAATAGTTTCTGCTGGGTATTGAGGGGGTGGGGGGGAGAGGGAGAGGGTGGAGTGGGTGGTAAGGGAGGGGGTGGGGGCAGGGGGGAGAAATGAACCAAGCCTTGTATGCACATATGAATAATAAAAGAAAAAGAAAAAAAATTGTACTTCTTTTTGACAGCACTGGAGTTTGAACTCAGGGCCATATGTTTGCAAGCAGGCACTCTACTACTTAAGCCACTCTACCAGCCTAAAAATTGTACCTCTTAGTTCAATGTGTGTTTTGGTCTCTGCAGTGGCAGCAAAGCTTCTTATGAGTACACGGTGCTGAGGCATGAACATCTAGTTTTCCCTTAGCCTCTTTCAGGGTTAAATTCTCTAAGGTTTTTTTCATTCAAGCTTATTGTTTTTTGCACTGTACATGTTGTATGGTATAATAATTTAATACATGCATACAATGTCAATCCTCTAGTTTATAAGGTTATTGTTCTCAATCATGAGTGTGTTTCAGAATAATAAATAGTTGAGAACTCTAAAACACTGCTGTAAGTGACTGTTAATTAAACCATGTTGTGAAACATAGTTTTAGATGTCAGGGATTTGGGCCATGTGAGACTATGTAGCAAAAAAACAAGGCCATTATGAAATAATATTAAGAAAAAGATCAAAATTCAATATTGCATTCAGGAGGATTCTGGGAAAATGAAAAAATTACCTTTGATTCCATTTTCTAATTCTGCAAGAAGATGTAAGCTTGTCTCATCACGTTATGCAAAAGACAGGTAAATTTATTCTGAAATCCGGGATTCCTGGGAGTGTGTTGAGTTTAAGGAAGAGGGCAGTTGACCTTCCTTGGAGAAAGCTCTTATAACGCCAGACAGGAAGGCGTCACTTTGGAACCTTTTCTGACAAGCTACTGTCAGACCACAAGTCTACACTGTCGTTTATGGAGGAAAATAAGAGCTATGATTGACCACTCATAGAGCAAAACATTGGCTTGAGAGGGAAGGAGGGAGAAGAACTAACAGGAACCATAGCACAGAGCTCAGGCTCCCTACACAAATTCTAGGAACTCAAGGCCTCATCCGCAACAAGCTGTAACCCCGCTTCTGTACCACAAGGGGGCAGCATCAAGAAGCGAGAGGCTGTAAACTGAGCTTAGCCCCAGGGTCCCTGAGTGTGTGCTTTCCGGTGCGCGCCCACGCCTCCATTCCAGTAGCTCGCTCCTGTCTTCCAGCCCTGCCATTCCTTTTCTCCTTTCCACCCCACAGCACTCCCCCTTCCCTTAGTTCCCTAAAATGGCCTCAGAAGAATTGAGTAGAACTCAGGGTTCGGCTTTCCTTGGGCTCTTGGGCGGACCGCAGGTCCCAGTTCACTTACCTTTCGTCGTACTCCCTAGGGTTCCCAGGAAAGTCATATATAGGCAGTGACCCTGGACAGAGGTATTTATGTTGGGCGTCCAGGCTCTGACCAGGGACAGAGGCAAAGGGAGGTTTGTCCTGGCTTTGGGAAATCCGAGGAAACTGGGCACTGCACAGAGGGCGCATTTGATCAGAAAGCCTGGATTCTTGGAGAAGTCTGACAGCAGGCTTTCCGGATTACAGTAGCGGAGATCCCAGACTATGTGCAGTGGCTTACACAAAGAGGAATTTTTTGTGCCTCCTTTTCAAATCTTTGAGGGACCCGTTCCAACCTTTGACTAGTCCTCTGATGAGATCTCCCAGTTCCACCTCTAACCCTTCACTCAAGAAGAAAGGCAAGGGGAATTAAATTTACCCAGGAAAAATGTCAAGTGTGTGTGTGTGTGTGTGTGTGTGTGTGTGTGTGTGTGTGTGTGTGTGTGAAACAGAGAGAAGCTGGAGTAGAAAGTTAAGTTGGAGCCACACCATGACGGGGCTTCGTAGGCAGTCTGTGGAGTTCTGACTTTCTATTGAGGTCTGGGGGAATCACTTCCAAAGCAGAAGCTTGACAACTCTGGACCTATTGTTTAGGGGCAGTGGTGTGGAGGGTAAATTGGGAGCTCAAGCACCGGAAGTGACCTTATTTGGGGTAAGATGAACTTGAGGCCAATAGCTACCCAGGTAGAAATATCAAGCAGGCAGTGGGTTACATGGCTGGACCTCAAGACAGAGGCTAAGAACAGAGTGGGCTGTGTAGAGAAAGAAGTTGAGCCTGGAGTGATTTGGGATCACCAGGAACAGCAGGGGGAGGAAACTGGTGTGCCTGTGGCTATCAGATAGTAGCAGGGAGCAGCAGCAGTCGCTGGATTTTTTTCCTTGTCTCTGCTGCATCTGGTTTCCATTCTACACCCCAGCCAAGCTCAGTTTGGGACTGATTTTCACATGGGTATTGAGAGATCCAGATGGCAGATTCTGTTCTGTTTTTTTGTTGGGGTCTGGAAATGATAATTCCTCTTCACCCCAACCTGCCCAATCTCTAGAACATCAGAACAGATTTCCACAATTGTCTCTGTTTAAAAAAATCACTTAGGGGACATTTGTTTTTTTACACAGATTTCTGGGCCCCTCCCCTGCAAACCCTGATTCTCTGGGCTTGGGGAATGGTGTTTTATCAGAGAAGTTTGAGAAGTGCTATACAGACCTAAACACAAACCCTTGTCTTGAAATCCACTTCTAGAGAGAATACCTGCCTCCTGCCCTAAATCAGATTAATAGTAGGTTTTAGAGGCAACCACAGACTGAACTCTGAGCCTGCACCTAAACCAGTCTAACCTTGATATGCACCAGAAGAGCTTGGGTCACAGTGGAAGGTCTGTGTAAACCTGTCTATTCTGTTGGGGAGTGGCTGAAAGCACTGGCCTGGTTGGCAGCATCAGCTTTGAAAATGGAGGACTATTTTTTTTTTTGTTTGTTTGTTTGGTTTTTTTTTTTTTTGAGTGAGCATTCACTTACCAAGATTAATAGGACAGTGTTAGCATTTGCTTATGTAGTGATGAGTCCTTTAAATGGGCTGGATAAGGTTTCAGGTACTTGGGAAGCATATATAAGGAGAACCAGAGTACAGAGGTGAGGGTTCAGGATACTGAAATATTCACTTTTCTTTTTGTAACTGTACTACTCCAATGCCTTTTCTTTTTGAGTTCTTTCTCTTCTCTGAGCCATGACTGACTGATGTGTCTCCCTTTCTCTTTCCTAGACCCTAGATTTAGAATGCAGAAGTTACAGCTCTTGGTTCCTTCAAATGGAACTTTGGTCCATCCAGCCTATTTCCTACTGGTGGGCATCCCTGGTCTTGGGCCTAACGTGCACTTTTGGCTGGCTTTCCCATTGTGTTTTATGTATGCCTTGGCCACTCTGGGAAACATGACCATCATCCTCATCATTCGCGTTGAGAGGCGTCTGCATGAGCCCATGTACCTCTTCCTGGCCATGCTTTCCACCATTGACATTGTCCTGTCCTCTGTCACCATGCCCAAGATGGCCAGTCTTTTCCTGACTGGTATCCAGGAGATTGAATTTAACATTTGCCTGGCTCAGATGTTCCTGATTCATGCTCTGTCAGCCATGGAGTCAGTTGTTCTGCTAGCCATGGCTTTTGATCGCTTTGTGGCCATCTGCCACCCATTACACCATGCTCACAGAGATTACTGTGGCCAAGATTGGACTAGCTGCTCTGACCAGGGGATTTGTATTCTTCTTTCCACTGCCTTTCATCCTGAAGCGGTTGTCATACTGCCAAAAGCATACTGTCACACACTCCTGTTTGCACCAAGATATTATGAAGCTGTCCTGTACTGACACCACAGTCAATGTAGTTTATGGACTCTTCATCATCCTCTCAGTCATGGGTGTAGACTCCCTCTTCACTGGCTTCTCCTACATCTTTATCCTGCAGGCTGTGTTGGAGCTGTCCTCTCGAGGGGCAGCACTCAAGGCTTTCAACACTTGCATCTCCCATCTCTGTGCTGTCCTGGTCTTCTATGTGCCCCTCATTGGACTCTCAGTGGTGCACAGGCTGGGTGGACCAACTTCCCTGCTCCATGTGGTTATGGCTAATATCTATCTACTGCTACTACCTGTGGTCAATCCTATTGTCCATGGAGCTAAGACCAAGGAGGTCCATTCAAGGATTGTCCATATATTCTCACATGATGGCAAGCGAGAAAGATGCCCAACCTAGTGTCCTCAATACTACCAAAGACAAGAAGATTAGGACCTGTAGAATATCTTGGTGATTGGAGCAGTGAACCCACTGGACAGTTTGCTTCTGGTTATCTAAATAGACCTTTATTTCTGTCTCCAAGACTGTGTCAATACAGAACTTATGACCCAGTCTGGACAGTCATCCTAGAGAATGATTAATCTCTCTGTTATGATGTCCTTGACTTTTTCTCTCCCTCCCAACTAGAAAATGCACATAGTTTTGATACAGAAAGGCTATAAATGCCAGTTTGCGTATATGATTTTTAATTGCTGTCTCCCTAGGTGTTCATGTCAGTGGATCTGTGTTGACTATAAAACCTACTACTAATATCCCAAAGTAGTTACACAGTCATAATCAAGGGTTAGCAAAGAAGGTATTTGGGGGATAGTAATTGGAGGGCGCCTGTAACAGGAGAGGAGACAGTTGACATGAGGTTGTTAAGTTTTTTTTAATGCATGTGAGTGCATTTATGTGGACTCTGTCATTGTCCATCTGTGTGGTTTTATGAAGTCTATTAGCTGCATATTTTGGTTGTGGGTGTGAGTCTATGGGCCTATTTATGCAGTCATATACTTTGAAAGAGAGAGAGAGACAGAGAAACAGAATCGGTGCCTTTACTGTGTTTATGGGGTATTTGTCAGTTGGTATGTGAGAATACTGTAAGGTGGGGAGTATCTTTATATATATCTGGTAAGAATGCTTCCCGTATCTTTTCCTCATATTTGTTACATGTGGGGACCACGTAGTGTTGTGATGGATGTACCTTTCAGCACATGCGGTGTTTACCATTGAGTACATGTTTATTGTGCACAGTGTTTTTGATATGAATGTAATGTTCTAAGTGTGTGTGTGACCCTTTTGATAATTTTTTAGTGCCTGTGTCTGGTGAATGTTTGGACACACTTCCTTTGTGTATTGGATATGGATTGTGTGGCAAAAGACTGAGTAAAAGGCTGGGTGCTATGGCTCGTGCTTATACTACCAACTACTAGGGAGGAAGAGATCAAGCAGATCACAGTTTGATACTAGTTCTGACAAAAAGTTGGTGAGACCCTATCCCAAGCAACAAGCTAGGTGTGGTGGTTTGTATCTATAAACTCAGTTGGATGGGAGGTGTAGGATCATGGTCTAAGTCCAACCCCTGAGCAAAAATGTGAAACAATACCCAAAAAATAGCTAATGCAAAAATGTCTGGGGACATGGCTCAAGTGTAAAGCACCCGCCTAGCAAGCTTGAGGCCCTGAGTTCAGAACCCAGCATTGCCAAAAAAAAAAAAAAAAAAGACTGAGTGCAACCATTGTGTTCCTGAGTTCTGACTGATGCATGGTTTCCGTGTGTGGAGCTGGGGGTGGAGGTAGGAGGTGGAAGAAGTCTGGCTTTGGGTAGCAGGCATAAATCCCAAAGTTGAGAGATACAACTCTAAGAGACCCAGACTGAAGTGATGGCTCTGGGAGTGAAAAGAATCACTATCCTTCTACTTCACAGTTTCTCAAAGGCCAGGTCCCACTTTCTTCATCCTAACGGGTTTCAGGTGCCTTTGCCACCTCTTCCTGTCATTCCTGCCTCCTCCACTTGGGCATTGGCCTTCCTAAGGCCCTGTCCTCCTGCCTCAGTAGCAGGTCCTAGTATCTTCATCTCTTTCCCTTCTCTTTCTTTCTGGTCTGCCACACATGTTTAAAAGGTCTTGATTGTAGGGCTTCTTGTTAACTCCTTAGGGGAAGCAAGGACCAGGGAGGATGAAGATGCGAGGGCAAAGACTCTGGCATTCCTGCTTTCTGCAGGCACACTCTTAACTTCCACTTGTTGGGATTAGGTTAAAAAAAAACCCACATTACAGAATTACAGCTAGAAAATAATGTAGATCAATTTAAGGTAGAGAGAAGAATACTGAAGTAGGGTTTATAAAACTTGGAAATACCTTACAACCTCTTTATAACTCATTTCCTTTTCTGTATAGTGAGAGACTACACTAGCAGTGATGTTGTGAAGCTTAAATATCATGAACATCCTTTGTAAACTGCAAAGTGTTGGAAACACAGATGGTCATCACATTTATGCTTGTCTTGAGTAAGTTTAGGAGTCAGCATTCACATCATGGTCTCTGTGAATGGTGCTTTGTGATTTTGCAATGGTCATTTGTGGCTTTCCTGATTTCTTATTACTTACTAAAAAGAAAACTCTTTTTTTGTGGTACTTGGGTTTGATCTCAGGGTCTACACCTTGATCCACTCTATTAGCCCTTTTTTGTGATTTTTTTGTTTTTGAGATAGGGTCTCACAAATTATTTGTCCAACCCGGCTTCAAACCATGATCCTCCTGATCTCTGCCTCCTGAGTAGGTAGGGTTACAGACATGAGCCACTGGGGCCCAGAAAAAAAACCCAAAGCCAAAACAAACAAAAGTAACCCATCTTGTTATCTATTAATAAAAAACACCTCTTTATCTTGTAATAAATTGTTTTCACAAAGCTTCAAGGGGTTCCTTCTGATGTCTTTATCAGGAAAAGTGACATTGTGGAGTGGGAATTAAATGAGATACAGTTAAGATTGAAACTTTGATTTGGGGCCAGTTACTTAACCTACTGAATCTTGGTAATTTTGGAAACTAAAAACACTATAAAATGGAAATACAATATAGACCCTATTGGATCATTGTACTGATTAAATAGAAAGTAATTGATAAATACTGGTGATAATAAATAATGAAGCCAACGGTGTGAGATGTGCTAATTTCATTTTAGGAGATGGTGTTTAAGTGCAGTAGCCATTAATTTTCATGACCAACTTCTTTGCCAAGACCAGAAGCTATTTCCTTGTGTAGTTGGAAAGTGTCAGTGGAGTTAGACTTTCTTTCTTAGGAAAGTTTGGGATATCTCTGAATTCTCTAGAATCTTCCTACTTAAATATGGTGGTTAGGAACATCGTGACTTTGTGGAAAGACTTGGCTAACTGCCAGACTAGATAGAGCAAGTCTGCCAGGCACCCACAGTCTCTGCTTTTCTTTATCATAAAACATAAAAGTTCTGCAGTTTTACTGGATGTTTATTTCTCTGCCATCGATTTTGGGTAGTTGTATCATAACTGTCTGTTTCGCCTCAATTGTAGAACTTCAATATCTGCATAATAGTTGTCTATTCCTCCTGAGGAGAAGAACCATATTTTATGACTCTCCATGTTTTCAGAACCTGGCACATAAAGTGCTGGATGGCTGTTTAGCTAGGGTTGCTCAGAGTCAGGAGGAGCCAGAGGCAGTTCTGGTTTGCCTTAAACAAATTTAGTCTTGTGTTCCTAGCCAATCTCATCTCTTATTCCTTTCCCCATAAATTACAGTCTTTCGTTTGACCTGTGCTATTTTATGAAGTCTCCAAAGCACTTTCTCCAGCTATTAATGATTAGTTGTGGTCTAAAAACATAATATTTTAGATATAGCTCTCACTTTACAGATAAGAAAATCAAATTTCTGAAGTTGTATCCACCCCAAGATCACACAGCTGAAAGCAGAATTAGTGACTCAATTCTACGTCCTTTTCCCCAACATTATAACCCTCGAACTGCAGATCTAAACATTCTGTTATACATGGTGAAAGGTGCAAGAAACCTGCTAGTGGGGTGGGGCTACGTAAGAACCATCCTCTCGTGCCATACCACATTTAAGTGTTGCACCGCTATGCTGCTATCTTTCTAGGGCAGGTGATTCTTCAGGTTATATTTACAACCTCTCTATTCTCATCTTCAGTGGAAAAGGAGATTCACATTTTCTCCCCATGGCCTTCCCCCTTCTAACCACATTACTTAGCATAGAATGAAAAGTATTTGAACAACCCATTTATATATGAATTTAATATAATGTAATGCACCGTAAACTGCTGAATGTTAGGGGAGCATGGCAATAAAGAGCAACTAATGGGGGTTAATTTGGTTAAAGCACAATATACAGGCCTGAAGTGCCAAGGCAAAACCCCCTTGGACTATCAATATACACTTACAAGTAAATGAAAGACGGGAGGGTAAAGCAGGTCTTTTCCAGGGGTGGATACCTGTGGGAAGGGATGGGTATAAGGAAAGGGTGAATGAGGGTGAATATGGTAGATATATTTTGTATTCATATATGAAAACAGAAGAATGAAACCTGTTGAAATTGTTCTAAGAAGGAGGGGAGAAGGAAAGAGGGGGAACAATAGAGGGTGTAAATCTAATCAAGACATATTATAAGCACATATGTAAATATCACAAATTATTCCCCTGTACAACTAGTGTATACTAATAAAAATAGATAAAACTTCCTTTAGTGCAGTATCCTTGGTTTCAGCAGAGCTGTGGGTGATTATAGAAAGGCTGGCATTTATATGAATTCAGGTCCTCTGAGAAGCAGATGCAAAGATGATATTAGGAGTGCAAAGAATTTTTTTTGTATGGGGGAAGTCTGTGAAATATAGTGGGGAGAGGAAATAGAAATAGACAGATAAGACCTTCAGAATATGGTACAAGCTAACACATATGAAAGGAAAAGGAAAGAGGACAATTGAGCAGGAAGAATCATAGACCTCAGTGAGGTTCTGAGAAGTTTCAGCCAGGCTGGAACACACAGCTCCCATGCAAAGGTTGCTCACTGGTCCCACACTGGCAGGAATGGGAGAGTACAAAGTCACTGACTGAAAGTAGCTTGAGTGTCTTCCTGCTAACATGTTGGTAGAACTGGAGGCAGCTGTTGGGGTTCTGGGTCAATTATGTTCCCAGCCACATGCTACCATGAAGGAAGTTAAAGGTCACACCTTTGTAGCTGACATAGCATTTGACCTTGGCTTGTTTTAACCAAGACCAAGTCTGGGGATATAGGTGTTTCTTATCTCCAGCCCTGTGACATATTTATGTTTATTTAATCCTTTAAAGTAGTTTACTGATAAATAATGGTTGAGCCATAAACTGCACACATTTGAAATGTAGAATTTCGTAAATTTTGCATATATACATACCTAT